ATGGAGGGGCTGCGCTGGGGGCTGGCGCGCTGGAAGCGCTTCCACATCAAGGTGCACCTGGCGGACGAGGCGCTGCTGCTACCGCTGACCGTGCGGCCCGGGGACACCCTGAGCGACGTGCGCGCGCAGCTCGTGGGCCGCGGCGTGGGCTCGTGGCGCCGCACCTTCTACTACAACGCGCGCGCGCTGCGCGACTCCCAGACGGTGCGCGAGGCGCGGCTGCAGGACGGCGCGGTGCTCCTGCTGCTGCGCGACCCCAGGTGCGTTGGGCGCGGCTCCCCGCGGGGCGCTGGGCCTGCCTTGTCCTGTCCCGTCTGCCTTTGCCTCTGCCGCTTCCTCCTCTGCCTTCCCTCTCTCTTTTTGTGTGCTTGGTTTTTTGAGACGGAGTCGCCCTGTGTAGCCCAGGCTGGCCTCCAACTCGCAGCGGTCCTCCTGCCTCAGCCTCCCCGGGGCTGGGATGGCAGGAACGCACCAGTGCGCCAAGCTCTGTGTCTCTGTTTCTCCCCCTGCGTCTGTCTCTCAGTCTGCCCTGCCCGCCTGTGTCCCCCCAACACACAGTCCCATCCTGTCCCATTAGGGGCCTCTAGAGAGGGCGGGGCCAGCAGATTGGACCCCAGGAAGGGCTCAGGAGACCCCAGCTGAATACAGCTTCCACCACAGCCTTTCCCTGCTTCCCCCGCCCCCCAGCCGCCACCAGGGCCCAGGTGTGGCTCTTGCCTCAGGTGAATCCTGGCTGGGCTCAGACACCAGCTCACCGCGGAGGCCTTGAATGCCGAGGCCAGGGCCGTGCCCGTCTGAGACCTGTGTTTTTCTGCCCTCTTCACAGGTAGTTTTGGCTGCAGGCGAGGGGGCCATGACCTGGCAACATCAGGGGCTGGCTATAGGAGGAGGCCTGTCGGGAACACCTTCGAGAGGCACTCCCCACCTCCTGAGAGCCGGGAACCCACTCCAGGTAGGCCAGGTCAGACTGGAGACTCAGGGAACTCAGTGGTGAGGGGAAACCGAGGCCACGAGAGGGGAGGGCTGGCCTGTGTGTGTGTCGCTGACTCCCTACCCGGCCGCCCCTGG